AAAGGTATACCATCCCTTTGTTCCTACCAATAATTTCCTAAAGGTATCCCATCTCTTTGTTCCTACTACTGATTCCCTAAAGGTATACCATCCCTTTGTTTCCTTCTGATTAGATTCTTAATCTGATCCGATACACCAAATAGTCACATGGGATGTTTCTTCAATTCGATGTACTTACTATCAAGTATTTCTTAATATGTCGTCTAATGTATTATCTAAGTTCCCATGCCGGCATGCCGTTTTGTCATAGACTTGGCATTTAATAAAATTTGTTTCACTGTAATGATGTGTAACAAAACTCATATAGCATCAAACCGTAATCATCATAAAAAGTCTTACGATTTTTGATATTACGGTTTCTAGTGAACATTCTTTGTACTTTAAATAACACATAGTTATAAAATGTCTTACGATTTGTAATATTAAAATTTCTAGTGAACATTTTTATGTGCTGTAAGTCAAAATCATCGGTAATTATACTATGGCAACTTGTGATTATACAACATTTGATGTACTATAAAACAATAAATCAAATCACACTTAGTAATCATAAAACGCTCTGCAAGTTTTAATACAGTTTAAATTGTATTACAATTTGAAATGAACAGATTATGTACCAAAACCATCAAATTCACTACAAATCACATGTAATTATCATAAAATTGACTACAACTTGTTATGTTACAATTTCAAGCGAACATTATATCAAACGTAAAGATAAGAAAACTTACAACAACTTGCTTTATTACAACTTTCAGTAAACATTTAATTAAATCACCCGTAAACATAAAATTTACGACAGCTTGTTATGTTACAATTTCAAGCGAACATTATATCAAACGTAAAGATAAGAAAACTTACAACAACTTGCTTTATTACAACTTTCAGTAAACATTTAATTAAATCACCCGTAAACATAAAATTTACGACAGCTTGTTATGTTACAACTTCAAGCGAACATTATATCAAACGTAAAGATAAGAAAACTTACAACAACTTGCTTTATTACAACTTTCAGTAAACATTTAATTAAATCACCCGTAAACATAAAATTTACGACAGCTTGTTATGTTACAATTTCAAGCGAACATTATATCAAACGTAAAGATAAGAAAACTTACAACAACTTGCTTTATTACAACTTTCAGTAAACATTTAATTAAATCACCCGTAAACATAAAATTTACGACAGCTTGTTATGTTACAATTTCAAGCGAACATTATATCAAACGTAAAGATAAGAAAACTTACAACAACTTGCTTTATTACAACTTTCAGTAAACATTTAATTAAATCACCCGTAAACATAAAATTTACGACAGCTTGTTATGTTACAACTTCAAGCGAACATTATATCAAACGTAAAGATAAGAAAACTTACAACAACTTGCTTTATTACAACTTTCAGTAAACATTTAATTAAATCACCCGTAAACATAAAATTTACGACAGCTTGTTATGTTACAATTTCAAGCGAACATTATATCAAACGTAAAGATAAGAAAACTTACAACAACTTGCTTTATTACAACTTTCAGTAAACATTTAATTAAATCACCCGTAAACATAAAATTTACGACAGCTTGTTATGTTACAACTTCAAGCGAACATTATATCAAACGTAAAGATAAGAAAACTTACAACAACTTGCTTTATTACAACTTTCAGTAAACATTTAATTAAATCACCCGTAAACATAAAATTGACGACAGCTTGTTATGTTACAATTTCAAGCGAACATTATATCAAACGTAAAGATAAGAAAACTTACAACAACTTGCTTTATTACAACTTTCAGTAAACATTTAATTAAATCACCCGTAAACATAAAATTGACGACAGCTTGTTATGTTACAATTTCAAGCGATAACTTTACAAGCTATATTTACATTTCCGATGAGTATTCTCTAGTGTTTATTCTAATAAACAACAACGAGATGTTAATATGTATTAAATATTATCTAACCACACAATAGTCATCAATATGAGCAAGTATATAAACATCAATGAACTTTTTTTTATGTTTAAAAATAATTAACCTCCGTCCGATCTCGTTGCTCAGTAACATGACAAAATTATGTATTTCCGTGATAACATTTTTTTCTATCGGCATTCCTGTACATTTCAATTTCATCACGAAAAACTGTAAGCATCAAAATTGTTTCAGTTTTAAATTTAATTATTATAATATACATACCGAGAACATAAAATAGAAATATCCTTTTCTAGACCATACAGTTTGATTTCAATTACATATTTTCAAAAGAATCAATCATGTTTGAAAAAATAAAGAATTAAACGGGAGTTCTGGTTGATTTATTTTAATACAAAACTGTAAACTTCTTCATAGATAAGTCTGGGAAATGTGGAGAAATTCCTACCACTTTTCATGATAATGGATATTCCGAAACTGGTGTTAATCAACCTATATGTTAATTGATATTTTCCCTGTCAATCCACTGTGGAAACCCCTAATCGTATGTGTTTGGGTAATATAAATGTATCATGTACTGATTTGAAAACTGATAAAGCTTTAGGACCAGATAGTCTTAGTCCCATAGTGCTCAAGGAACCACAACATCATTAGCTGAGCCATTACATATTTTTCATAACAATTCCTTACTATACGGAATATTTCCATTTTCGTGGAAGGAAGCAAATGTGTTACCACTATATAAAAGAGCTATAATAATGTGAAAAACTATCGACCAAGTTCACGTTGACGTATAAAGTGTTCGAAAAGTGCCTTTATAAACGTAATTTTCTCTCTGATTTGAAAGTAATAACAAATAATCCATCAGGTTTTACACCAGGTGATTCCTCCATCAATAAATCACTAATTATTTCCGAGGATTTCATTCTGGCATTAGGTTCTAGCAAAGAAATAAGTAATATTTTGTGACATCAGCAAAGCAATCGATAGGGGTTGGCTTTACGGACTGTTGCACAGATTATCGTAAATCATGATCGCTCCTATAATATTGGGAAAGTTACATTACGAACAAGAAACAAGGAATTATAATCAATAATATTCATTCTGATTGGACTGAAATTAAGACTGGAGTTCCTCGCGTTCAGTAAGACCTTTTTAATCTATATTAATGGTATTGTCATGCTGATGACATTACATAGTACATGATAACTGAAGCAAATAATATTATGATGTCACATCTACAAAAATACGGAATAATCCAAATCCTGGTTAACCAATTTCAATCCTAAAACACGGAAGCATGACTCTTAGAAAGAAAAACAGCTAATTCCATCCGATTTTACATATGTGCAATAAAAATATTAGAGGTCCTTTTACATATACACTCAACAGTTCTTTTTTCGAACAATTGTAGCTGGTTTAATTCATTATTCAGGAAACAATGTCTAGGTTAGATATGTAAACTTGAAGACTGAAAATCGACAGGTTAATATTACAAACCATATACTTTTCGTTTATACGACCACTTGTAGAATAGATAGCAAAAGAAAATATTTTCAAACTAGAGAATGTCAATTTGGAAGCTGCTAGGATTGTACAAGGTACCAATAAACTTACAAGCTTAGATAAACTATACAAAGGGGTTGGATAGAACAAATAAATAAATAGACTGTAGACATCATAATAAAATGTTACAATTCCATCAAATATGTTTTACCAAAGTATCTGTTTAATCTCTTACTTAATTCAGTTACTGATGTTAATAGTTACAATACCAAACTTTCTGCCCCATCATGTATCATACCTAATGCATTTCTACCATGTAAACAATTCTCTTCCTTTACATGTTTTAACTTTTAAATCGAATTGTAAACCATGCCCACCTTCATACTACTTCCAAGGATCCTGTCTGGTTCAAATCTATCAAGACTCTTGATGTCATGAAGCTCCCTAAATGAACGTTTGTATTCTACACAATAGATACCGTCCCCGACTTCTTGATGCGGTGCCATTGAAAATGTAACAGATATACAATACACTTAGACATGTTCATATTCTTCGTTTGCAGCATCAAGTATCTAAGAATCTCTTTAGTGATGATTCTCTAACCCATCAAGAAAACACTACATGGCTATGATGAATTGTTTAAGTCAATTGTTTTCTTAAAAGTGCAAAAAGCGCCAGGGACGAGGCGAGAAAATATTTTATGGAACTTAAGTTGGAATTATGATGGCTAGCATTTGAACTGCAACGTTTGTTTTAATAATAATGTTTTTATTAGTCATAGCGGTACATTCTTTCAGAGATACTATATGATACGTAAGTTTGATTATATATTTTTGAAATACTTCAAGAGTCTATTTACAGCTTTGTTGATTATTTCATCGACAATCATAGTTACAGTAAACGTACATATTCTGGCGGTAATCTTATTTTAGTGGTTTTCGAGCTCAACACCTTCCGCTGAATTTTACTTGCGCTCATCCAGTTTCTGTATTTTGCCTTCTGCAGCAAGTATTGCGATGCTTTAATTTGCCTATCTGTGTAAATTCGGTCTCCGCTAAACTGGAGTGCGCCAAGATAAGTACGCTTACAAGATATCATATCGATTCGTGTTCCACATACTCATTAAATATAGTGTATTGATATAACATTCCCGGCTTCCACTGCATACCAATCCTTGTCCCCTTCCCGTTTTCTGTCTTTGTTTTATTGTGTCAATTACTTCATTCCTGTAGTTAATGTTGTAATTGTTGAAAATGCATCCGGTTACCAATTTACATTATAGTCATGACACTTATTTTTGTTTCATTTTCTTATTTCATGACCTGCGAAAGTAACGAAATCGTTCTTACCTGTTGAGCACGTATATGCATGCTCCTGTACCTTGTTGGTTTAGCCAGGCTATTCATCATTGTTGAACTGATATGATATTAAGCATAAATATAAGAAAACTGATTCAATTTACATTCTTTATGATTCTAGGCATTTTTGTTACTTATTATTTACTTGTGTTTACATAGAACCCGCCTTTGTTTCGCTTGCCTTTTTATACCTCGAGAAATATTTATTTTGTTTTGGAAAAAAAGTAGCGGTAAAATTTATAAACACGATTATTACACGAAAAACTAAGAGAAACAAACATTCCTTGTAAACTTGAAATGTTTTCAAACAATATCAACAGAGTTTCTGACCGAACAAACATAGCAAAGATACTGACTATCCAGCTTAACCCCATCATCGAGGAAATCTTGATTAACAAAAATATGAAGTTTTTGTTAGCGTCAGTGCTGCTAGATATTGATGTAATTTTTATATAATGAATAATCAAAATAAACAATATAATATTACCGCACAGAAAAATCGAAATTGGGATTATGAAAGACAGAAATAAAACATAGGTATGTGAAATGAAACAAATCTTTCCCCCATACCATGTTTTCGTTGGTGATAAAAGTACATTTAATAGTTTTGTGCCTAAAACAATAGAAATGTTTAATATGAAACCAACACAACAATATTTTGAAGTTTCCCAAATTCTTTCCGATCTATTTATAGCTTTAAGACTTCTGATTTCTAAGTTAAAACGGAAAGAACAAATAAACATAAAAATAAATGTACCAACCCAAGCAAAATGATGCAAAACGCCGATCCATTCACACAATGCCCTCGCAACTTTGATCTGAGAAATTATTAAGAAAATGCTTTGTGAAAACAACAAGTAGAACATTAAAACAAACAACAGCTCCAACTTTCCCTGTCGAAGAAAAGGAATACTGCAATACTGGACTAGTGAGTAGACCAGTGATATAATTGATAAACATGTACATATCGTATTGACAATATATCTATAATATACAATGCTTTCATCGGTATAATTGTCATTTTGATACTTTGATAAAAAAGTATCTATACAAAGAAAATGATTTCCAGCCTTGAAGAAAACATCTTCAGATTTGATTATCGTTTCATTTAAGTAAAAGTAATGTTGATATGTTCTTTTATCAAGAAATTTGAAATCTGAATGATTATATTCCGAGTTATTATCTTGCGGATGTACCTTAACTGCCGGGCATGGTGGAGAAGCAATCTGTGGAAAATCATCAACGACATACAACGGATTTCTGAATGAGATATTGCATTCACAAAAACATTCCGAGACGGCATCTATATGTTGTATAAAAGCACTATTGGATAAATTTTGTCGATAGTTTTTGATCAAATTGATTACCACAGCCTTTTTAAAGTCACCAGAAACCTTACTTATGTTGATTTCCCGAAGAAAATGATGAACGTGAAAGACGGAACAAGGTTTCAAAGATGTCACGTGATATCCTTTTATGAATGTCGTTTCGCGCGCTAAAAAGATAAAGTCGGAATGTGAAGTATATGTACTATTGATGACATTTTTTAACAATGCAAAAATGTTTCCAATAAATTCATTGAACATTTCATCAGGCCTGACAACGAAGTTAGATTCAAATAAAAGATCCAATGCGATTCCTTTCGTGTTGTATTCAAGGGCGTTGCATCTACCACCTGATGGTTCCATGTCAGTAGGACAGAACAGGGTTTGACAGCCAATCTAATACAGAAAAAAATATGTAAGTTTCGTTTCCTACAGACCGTTACAACTACAATCATGACTTTCGTTAACTTACCATAAAGAACCCGATCCGACAGAAGCTATGGATAATAACATTTGATACTTGTACATGACAGTTTTTGAAGGACAGTGAATGTAATTTATATTGTTATAACCTTGTAAACTAGATTATTAGTTTTAAAAAGTTAATGTCATCTCCTTAAAATATCAATTTCATATTGAAAATGAAGTTTTACGTTTGTATTAAGAATAGAGAGCTCTTACCTCATTAGAGAGAAGTATTTCATTTTCATCACATTGCATCTTTCTTGCAGATGAATAGAACAAAGATGAAACATCTATTAGACTACTGATTGAGTTTCTGTTTGTTGCTCTCCCCGATATGTCTAAATCAAAACATATAAATGAATCTTGCTTTAGGGAGAATGGAGAGAAGAGGCTGTCGTTCATCAAGCATTGTAAATTCCTGAAGATTTTGTTTTCCGCCGGGAATTTAAACCAAAAAGGACTTAAGACGCGATTTTCACAAGATGTGTTGTTCACTGTTTTCAAAACGTTCCACAACAGATACCATAATCCACGGTGACAATACCGAATAACGATATGTTTTGATGGTTCAAATTGGTAATCGCAGGCTCTGCTATTCAATCTTTGCATAACTGCATCTTTTGGTGATGTTGAAAGTTCAAAGTCATAATAATTGAGATTGTTGAAGCAAGTTACATTCAACAACCATGGAATCCAATTGTGTTTATCGTGACATAACGCACAATGTCGATTCTTGAACGTTACATTGGTACTGATATCAAACACTGGTATCAGGCCGTGGAGGTCTACGTCGGTGTTAATTTCACATTGATACTTTACAACATTGTCTCCTTCCCATGATGCTGGACAAGATGACACCATGAAAGCACCTAATGGGTTTGAAATGTTCTTAGAAAATATGGGTTCACAAGTGGTCTCCGCGAGGAAAGGAATTCGAGACTTCTCAACCTCGTCTCTTTTTTTCAATATTTCGTTTGCATCAAAACAGCAATCGTCGTAATATAAACATAAGCTGTCACAGCGACAAAGGATATTGTTAGGACTTTTACATGACAAATACCTCGCAAGGCACCACTGACGAAATCCGGAAAAAATATCCATGTTCCAGTCTGGATACAATCCTGATGTTACGTAAAATAAGTTGAAAAGAAGCAAACTAAATTTGTAAAAACAAAAAGTATCCATATCTGTTTCAATAATTACCTTCAAACAATTTTACTTTGCTCTCTTCAATAACTCACGTTTTTGTCAAAAACTTCCGTTCTGGTTATCATTCCGTGTAATCCTAGAATTGAATTAAAACAACACATCGCTGGAGATATTTAATGTCTGTCCCACTTGATTTCGAATTCAATTAGTTTCCTGTAATTTTATACGTTGTGAGTGAAGTTAAATCGCGAAAAATCATGCAAAAGTCATAAAGCGTGAAATCAACACACACGTAGTTATCATAAAGCGTGAAATCAACACACACGTAGTTATCATAAAGTGTACAAGTCACTGCCTGTTTTATTTCTAATACAGCTATAAAATTAGTAGGAAACATATCAGTTTTACTGATTTGTATGAAAAATATCACTGCCGTGTACTTAGACCGCAAAGAACAATTTAATAAGGCTTTGACGAAGCACATTGTACGACAGTAACGATATTATGGCGCCGAGTTTTATCATCACCGTGAATTATTGCAAAATTTTCTACAATGGATATCTTATAAAAGAAATCGTGAACATCATCACCTATGTGTAACAGAGGTCATTATTTACTCGAATGTCTCCGCTATGGTTCGAAGTCATGACTTCCGGTTTACCATTCTAACACTTAGCAGATTGAGCTTAAGAGAAGTTCTCTCTAGTCAAGCGGTATATTGCTTGTGAAATGTACCAACAGGCTTCATTTAGGGATATTAATCCCAAGATGATGTCGAGTAGGTAGGGTGTAACGATTATTTGCTTTATTACAAGTGTTCCAACGTTACATATATTATACTGAAAGGTGTATAAAAATATTAAGCATTTGAGTACATTTCGTATCTTCTTCATACATTAAATATCGTAATTCTGGTTCAAAATTGAAAGTGGTGTTCAACAGAGGGGACATTTCCATAGAAATTCAAGATATTGTCCCCTCCATTGACATCTACTTTCGTCGTAGCAAAATTATTGACATCAAATTATTTCAATGAATACTGCAACATTTGACATGCATAAGTATACAGCGTTATCTTCATATTATATATATAACATTTGAATTTTTGGGGAAGCTAGATTTCCGATGACATTCAGTATCAAATTAATAAGAATTCACTTTTTGTTTGAATACTTGCCTTTTTCACGTATTGATATCGACTGCAAAATTATGAAGGTTCGATAAAAAATCGATTTCATTGAAAGTCTTGATGGCATGTAATGAGGCATCCCACTAAATACGCCGACTAGAAAGTTCTGTTTTTGTCTAATTTTAGGTGAATAGACAAGTGGCACAGCAATTCTAAAACAGCTAATTCATAACCCAAGCTCTTACAAAAATCCACACAGTTGGCTTTCGGTATGTAGGACACGGATTCAAATGGAAATGGAAAATCAGAACATGATATGTTCTACTTCGCATGGAAACCATACAAAAGCTAACTTTAAAATTTCTGAGTGTTAAAAAAACACACAGTTTATAATACGACAATGTAATGGTTGGAGGTCCATTGATTATTAGTCTCTTGATGGCTATTTCAAACCTTTATTAACGGATGCTTTAAATTTCGAGGCTGAGATATTTTAGTAAACTATCCCTACACCATTCAGCTGACAATAATGAGAACTTGTCCTTGCGATTCTTCCAACGCTTGTTTAAATCTTATCACGTCATCCGTTCTAGAGGTTTATAAAACTATTTGAAAACATAGTTCTAATGCCGAAACTGTTTTTTTATGTTTTTTTTTTTTTTTTTTACAGCTTGTTGACATTTCCCCCTTGTAGCTTTTGTCTTTCTTCATCTTCGCCAAAATATAGCCTATATCTTAAGACACTGACCATGTAATCTCTATATCAGATCAGAACGTCGATACTCATGCGTATGTGTCCCCAATGGACGTAGCTCCGACAAATGATACCATTTCTGTGGCATTTCTTTGTATATTTTCTATCATGGTCTTATCCTTCTGTTGGAATGGAGACCAAACAGCGGTCGCATACTCAAGAAGAGGTCCCACCAAAATTTTGTAGAGAGTTTCGAAGAAATCTGCATCTACGCAAGTGAAAGTCTTGAATATTACTCCCAGTATCTTATTTGTCTGATGCCGCAGAATTCACTTTACTGATAAATTTAGTTTGTCACCAATCACAACACCAGATTTGCTTCTTTTTCCAATTTCTTCAATCTGGTTACTAAGTTGTTATAACTCTAAATGAAACTTTCCTATGCTTACCCTTCAGATGTTCATCTTCATCCACTGATTTCCGGTCCAGTTAACAATGTTGTCTTTTCTGCGTTGTTTTGTTTGCTTTTAGCAAAGATGGCTGCCCGCGAGTATACAGTATTTAAGTGTCGTCTACAAAGAGTTTTATAAGCAGGTTATAGCTTCAGCTATGTTGTTCACATAGATGAGGAAATCCATTGGTTATAAGACGCTTCCTTTTGGGACACTACATATTACTGGCAAGCTATTCGAACTGTGACCATTTAGAATGACCTCCAGTTCAATACTAGGTCAAGATGTTTTGAACTAAGTAGTTTACCGTTACTTCCGTACTGTGTATATAACAGAAGTCTGACGAACTTTGGCGATGGCTTTACTAAAGTCTTAGTAGATAACATATGTATTACGACAGTAACCCAGTGTTCAAGGAACTCCAGACATTGAATGGTACAACAGCGACATATTCGAAATCCGTGTCGTTCACATGGTTGAATGATCTTACGAGGCACAAATGTTAGTTAAACCAAGAGGCCGATAATCTCTAGAACCATTCATTTGGCCCTTTTTGAAGACAGAACAAGCATTTGCCTTGTTGCATGAATTAGCTAGTCTCCCTTCCTGAAGTGATTTAGAGAAGATGATGGCAAGGATTCCTTTTATTTTGTTGTCTGTTTTTGCAATTACACGTGGTAGTGGGTGGATGTTATCAGATCCATGAGACTTTTGGGGGTTAATTTTGGACATGGCCACCGTGAAAGTATTCCTAGTAATTGGGATATTCTCCAGTGGCATTTTATTGACTCTCAGCAAAGAATAGAGTGGTGACAATCGAGGTATCATCCCGCGACAAAAACGCTAGTAGAGTAGTTATTATATTAGTTGGTGTTAATGATTGTGAAAGTCGTTTTTATCCTAAAGAGGATAAACTTTCAGTTTGGATTTATTCTAATAATGTGCGCCAAGTCCGTTCCATGTTAGTATTCTGAGTGTGTGATGGTACGGACAATCTGATTTCTGGTAGTCTTGTCAAAATATCACTGCAGTTTTGACGCGTTCATAAATAAGATAGATCTAAATATTCGCATGGTGTATCATCTGACAATCTTGAAAAGAAAATAGGCTATTCCTCATTCTATCCTCGTACGTCGGCCATCCCTGGATACCTTATCCATTAGTGGAGAACGTTGTTGGGGAAAATAGATTCAAATTGATTTCTTAGTGATCCAAGATGTACCCCGAAAGATATATCTTGAACGGGGATTCTGTTGGATCTTCATTAAGTAATCTACATACCCGCTTTTGTTCAGGTGATCTCAGGTGTACAATTAAGAAACTGAAACTATTGTTGTCTCTTTGGTTAACAATTACTATCAGACTACTTTCATATGTGAGTCAACTCTCCCTTCCGTCAACATTCTCGCCCGTGAGTTTCACCGTCAGCATTTAATGCATTCAAGAATAAAAGAACATCGCCAAACTCTAAGTTTCGCCTTTGAATTGCTGATTCGACAAAATAAACTCCAACTCCTACCAATTAAACGTTCCAACGAGAATTCATAAACAGCGTTTTCTAAACTTGTAATACAAATATAGAGTGTTTCTACCAAATCATTATAAAATCACGACTGTGTAAAAGTGCTTGGCTGCATTCAACAGCAGATCATATTTCGAAAACGATATTTCTAAAATGCACACTCTAATGACACTCATCTATAGCCATTTTTGAGTTCACGTCAACCATCCCTGTGAAGTAGTCTCTGTCGAGTTCGCGGTTCGGAGGGGACACATCAAGATGGCGTCGTGTAAACTGGACACTTATCCGATGGACTTTAATGCATTTATCTGGTGCTCGAGATACATGTTTACTGAACCTTTACAAACACACTTCCATCATATGCTTTGATCAAAAATCGAGCTTTATATGTGAAATACTGGGTATTTGAAATACGCACGTGGAATCGTAGATGCCATGATGTGAATTTTCCATTTTGGGATAGAAACTTCCCTGCGTCTCCAACCTATCGTGTTAACATTTCGCAGTTGATTCGATTTTCGTGCAAGAAGTTGACAACCGAGGTTACGAAAAGATACAGGTTGGTTGAGATATGAAACTGGACGTGTTAGATGCTCGTTAGTTTGCCTGTTGGTTCTGTTGTTGTATACCATGTTCTCATTGGAAAACGTGACATGACTTATTTGGATTGGCCAAGATTTACATGGCGGGTGTCATCGATAAAGCAGAAGACATTTACTCTTCCGGAACACCAATACTTAGCCTCCTTGTACTATAACAGGAGTCTGCGTGTAGATCTTTCTTTCGTTCAAATTTTGCATAAGGTTTTTTTTTGTTTTTTGTTTTTTGTAATTTACGTTTAGATTATGATAATGTTGACATGTTGGTATTTCTTTATTCTTTTAATGCGGAGTCGTCAAAACCATCCAATCTTGCTGTGTGAAAGAATAATATATTTGATTTAATGCATACTGTATATCACAACAATGTATAATTGTATTGTATGATGAGAGTATTGATTGTATTGTGTAATTTCTGTATCATTTGTGTAATGTTGACTTCTAAATCATTGTAAAATTGTTTGGATTGTTTTGTTTGGTGCGTGCAATATTGCCTGATATGATACATCATGAATATGATGTGTGTGTGTGTGTGTGTGTGGGTGTGTGTGTGTGTGTGTGTGATGGTGTGTGTGTGTGTGTGTGTGTGTAATACTGTCTGTATGTTGACGTCTTGTCGAAGGTGTGCCCGAATGATCAAATAAATCTTGAAATCTTGATAATCTGAGAAAGAAGCCCTGATTTTTGAAAATTCAAGTAGATCCTATGTGTTATATGTATATATATGATAAAGTCTAAAGTTTGCCAATACTTAGAATTACAGATGAAGTATCCACTTTGTTGCAAAACTTTTCCCACTGAATTAATATCCTACTTTAAACATTGTGAAGGTACAGTTGTCTATGTGTTGTGTCTATATGGGTTTCTGTGGTAACGTCTGTGCAAAAAACGGAAGCAAAATGAAATATCCTTGCACCTTACCCAATTCAGATTTCTTGTACATCGTCCTCGGATTAAATAGCACTTATATTTCGAAACTTGTTTGTGCCGTTTGCGTAAATGTTGCTGTTCAACGTTTCTGTCACGACAGCTACACTGTAGAAAACAACACGTTATCTCGTAAACATCACTATGCGTGTTTCGTTACCGCCATCTTGATATGTCCCCTCCGGACCAGACACATTCACGGCAGTGTTAGTGTAATAAGGGAGTAATGAAAAACACCCTGCCCTGGCGATGTTCGAACAAGCGACCTTTCGGTATCTAGCTGGACACTCTAACGTTCAACTAAAGCCGCTAAACTTAAAGGAAATTCCTGTACTCATAATTTCTACACTTCTCCCTCCTTCTCAGAGTTTTCAACATCAACGACAACTTACATAACGGTCCGAGTATCTCCAAGGAAGCGTCTCCATCTCCCATAGCTTCTAGCCTTGGAGGTGTCATCAAGTCTAGTCTTGTACAGACGACATCCTTAGTCAGGGATTTTCGACGCTCGTTTGGAATGTGACCTTCATTTCTCGCTCGGTCTCTTCTATAAAATATTTTGCATTCAGGGAATATAACACCTGAAATGACAACAAGTCCAGTACATATTCCTTCCGACGAGTCCCTTGACCAGGAATCGAAACCGGATCTCCGGCGTTCGGAATAATCGCCCGGTTCTACCAACTGGGACAAAGAAGCGCGCTGCTTTTACACATAAAAATCTCGTGTTACATGTAATTTTGTAATAATATAGTTAAAGCTACAAATTAAATGTAATCTAATCATGGACTTCTCAAACATCATAATATCGATCTAAATACAAAAGTTAATAGCAAATCTGGTCACAATTTACATTGTGAAAAAAAATAAAGATACATAGTGTACCTAGAATGTTAGGCAGTACAGTGTAGATCTGTAAATGCAATTTTTCTTTTGTTCCATTTACTTGTTGAATACTTCTAATTTAATTGCATGTCTCTATATCATAAACCCAACACAAAACCGCAAATTAGAAATGCTTGATACTTTTTATAATTCCCCCCGCATTTCAGCTTTCTGATACATATATGCACATATCTCGGTATATAAGGTTGTATATTGGCAGAGCGCCGTTTGCTGACGTCAGTGCGTAGCTACAGTGTAAGCCCATGAATGTTATAATTGGGTCACGTATCATGTACTAGGCGGTGAGTGTGCTGGGAGATACTGTGCACCTTATTGTCGTCGGAATTGGATTGTTATAATATGCCATCAACACCAGAGAAGTTGACAAAGTATGAAAAGGTAAGTACAACGTATGATAGTCGTATCCTGCTGTTTTCATTCCCCATAAGGACAGTTGCTGTTGGTCCAGGGAGAATTGTGGTACCGGAGAAGGGGAGGTGGTCGAAAGGGGAATCCTGACTTTGAAGTGAACGAAGTCATATTTTCAGATTATTGAGACTCTAAACACAGAAAACTATCACAGAATTTATCAAAGCCGAAGGGAAAATATGTTGTTTGTCAATTTTAATGGTATAATGCTTCTGGTTTTGAGGGAATGTAGGTCACCGCCATGGTAGGCCTGTTATGTTTTGTAGTTTAGATTCGAGTCTGCATTATTGTTGGTATCATAACGTTTCAGAACTCTGCTTAGTTTGTTATCTTCAACGTTATTCTATTACATATCTCTCCTTTATGTTTCGTATCGCCAAAGTAACGTCCAACATAATTTGAGTTTCTTACGAAACACAAAATGTGCTGCTATTTATAGACGGGAGTCCATGTTGTTTTGCTGCTACCGAGTCTTGTTTACATTAACTTGGTTGTAATATGTACTAGTTAATACAGTTGTCGTTAATTAGTTAAACCATTGAAATCACAGTTAAACTATTGGCTCTATGATTGATGAAAAAAACTATTTAATACAGCTGAAGTCATTTAACGCGTTTTCGTGTAAACAAAGGTCTGCGAGCATGAGGGGTTTTGATTGGTTAATACAGCGGTGTGTGGCAGACACACCTCTAAATAAATTACCCTTGCTCGCGAAAGGTCAAGGTTAGGCTGATGTGTAGGACGAGCCAAGTCCCAAGCATCGTGATAGTTTTCACTGCGTAAATAAGCAAGTAAACAGATTGTTTACGGTTCTTAACTATTTCTTTTGACGAATTGGACAAAATGTATCATCAGATTGATCAAGTTTGATATGTATGATTATAAAAAAATACTTGAAAATGTTCTGTGTTTTAAAACATTTAATTTTCATGCCCATCTGGCCATCAAGAAGTTTGAATGGATATGGGCTGACGTTGTTGGAACATAACTTCCATCAGTTGTAGATTTTTACGTGTCCAGAGATAATCAGTGTTCAAACAAATTCTTTCAAAACATTGTAGGCTTTCATTCCAATTGTGTATTTTCGTAAAGTCAATTAATAATCATCAAATTGATGAATCAGGGAAGTAGATTACACAGATTGTATGTATTTATTGTACTAGTATGAATATTTCTGAAAATTTTACCATCTCAACAATTTACATTTTGAGCTCAATTTTATGTACTGCAAAATGTTTATAGGAATGCTGACTATGGATCAGTTAAGCAATGAAGTTAATCTTCGGGCCAGATTGACATCTTCTATTTGGCCACCTTGGTAGTGGTCTTGAAAATCCTTCATGTTTTAAAACTTAATTTCTGTTTAATTGATTGTATCAAACGAATAAACTTTTGTCTTTTTATTTGACTGGGACTATTACTCTCAATAATCACTCAATGCATAAGTATACTGTGTAATTAGGGTATCAGAAAATGCAGGAGATTACATTCTTGACATGAGCTTTAACTTTCTAGCCCACCATCATGGTGGGTATTTAAATTCCCCTTTGTCCATCAGTAAAAAAATTTAGCTACCATTGTTTCTTCAGAAGTACTGTACAGATTCTGACTTCTTAAATCTATTATGTAAGTTCATCTTGGTCCCTAGTTGTGCCTGTTTTATTTTATGACTTAAAAGGAAAACAAAATGGCAGAGGAATGGTGGCCATCTTGGATTGTAGCAATGAAAGTTTGTTATCTTTTCTTTGTGATAAGACCTGGATGGAACTCTCAATTATCATATGTGCGTTCCCCTTGGTCCCTTGTTGTACCTGTTTGATCAGGAAAGCAAAATTGCTAACAAGCAGCCATCTTGGATTTGGCAGATGAAGATTATTTTTTGCTATATTTTGAGACGATTTTTCAAATTTCATAAATTATTAGCTAATACAGAGAAGAGAAAAGATCCAACTTCGAAAGAGCAAATAGCAATTAAACAATAATGGGTGCCAAGATCATTCTGGAATCTCTTGTTTTTTCACCTGTGTCCAGAAATACGAGAACTACAGAATGACATTTGACTAAGATGTTTGTACAATCCATAATTATTTTGTTCAGTTTTTCTTGTAGCAGCATATTACACCATACAAGTTATAACCATAAGGTAAATGTCACTGATAACATGATAAATTAGAATGTTTTACATTAGAAATGACCTGATGTCACATTTATATCCTTTAGGAAATTCAGATAAGTTACAACTCCACCAGGTGCTCAGAGTGCTGCTAATGTTTTCTTTGCAGTATAAGACTCTGTTTTCCTGAATACAGTGTACAAATAAAAATGCAATACATTTGTTATTTTGTGACAGATATATTCATTTGCAATTATATTTTTTTTCAAATCCAATAAATAAAGAAACATTTTATAAAGTCTCTGAATTAAACTTTGAATTGAATGATTAAATTATCAATTATACGTTGAATTTATCTCCAAGTAAAGATACATCCATGATCTGTTGTCTATCCATCTGTCCATAAACAACTTTTGTTATAGCTATTTCTTGAATAGTTCTTGATGGATCTTTCTCAAATTTCATTAGTAGTTTCCCTTTGGTCACTAGTTAGGGTATGCAAGTATCAGTTTCCCTTTGGTCACTAGTTAGGGTATGCAAGTATCAGTTTCCCTTTGGTCACTAGTTAGGGTATGCAAGTATGATATTGGGACTGGTCAGGGAAACAAAACGGCAGCCAGACAGTCATCTTTGGGTTTGACAGTGAAAGTTTGTTGGAGAAATTTATCTTTTTCAAAGTTCATATGTAGATGCCCTTGGTTTCTAGTTTTATCTTTTTGATTCTGGAACGGGTTAAGAAAAAACATGGCTGATATGCTGGCATCATGGATTTTAGCAATGAAAGATTGATATCACAATTTCTTTAAAAGTACTCAATGGATCTTTCTCAACTTTCATATGTAGATTTGTCCTTGTCCCTAGTTGTGCCTTTTTAATGACTGATATGAAAAACAAAAATGGCTGATGAGCAACCTTCTTGGATTTGACAGTTGTTTAAAATTATTATGGCTATTTCTTAACAGGAATTTTAGATTTCATGTAACTAAGAGCAAAAAATGGAGGAAAGAAGGCAAAAGATTCAAATTTATAGAACAAATAAAGATCAAGTGATATTGGGTGCCAAGATCCCTCGAGGATCTCTTGTTTTTCTTAAAAAGAAATATTTAAGATTCCATATTTGTAACTTCTGAGTTAAAGATCTTACAAGTCCCTGATGACTGACCACTAACAGAAAAGGGGTTGTTAGGAACTAATATTTTCTCAGTCATGAAAGGGGATTTTAATTGCTCTTTAAATTGAACTGTTTGGGTACTATTTAAGTTTATGAAATTTTAAACTTAAGATCTTACTTTATTTTCCAGATTGAGAATTATGTGCGGGGATTTAAATTATCCTCCCTAACATACAAGAGAGTGATGCATCTTTTGCATGATGAAATGAACTATGGTCTCCTTAAGACCTCCAATCATATGGCAGATATCAAAATGTTTCCCACATTTGTCCGTGCCTTACCTGATGGGACAGGTGAGTAAAGGTCTTCATACTTCAACTTGCTTAACCTAACTAATGAGGTATAATATTTCACTATTCTGATGTGTTAACCTTGAAATAAACTGATTAAGATATTTGCTTTTAAAAGTGTTCTTTTCCTTTTAAAATCTTTAATGAAATGTATCTTTTACAGAAAAAGGAAAGTTTTTGGCTCTAGATTTGGGTGGAACCAACTTTCGTGTACTGATGGTAAAGTTGGATGGCCGAGAAGTTGATATACAGAGTAAAACTTACCTTATACCACAGAGAATTATGCTTGGCACAGGTATACAGGTAAGTCTAGATCAAACATGTCATTTTTTTGTATTAAAATGATCCTACATGTACACATGACTTCAGAGATCCTCCATATATGGTACTTCTAGACAGAAGTGAGGAAATCTTTCTTAGTCCCATTAATAACCTGTATGACACCCTGTATTGCAGACTTTGTAACTTAGATCTAATATTTTGACTTTCAGCTATTTGACCATATTGCAGACTGTATTGGACGATTTGTGAATGACCATGATTTGCAAGGGGAACAACTGCCCCTGGGGTTTACTTTCTCCTTTCCATGTAAACAAGAAGGTCTTGCAACTGCACGCCTCTCAAAGTGGACAAAAGGATTCCGATGTGAAGGAGTTGTAAATGAAGACATTTGCAGGTTACTTCAAGATGCTCTGAAGCGCAGAACAGTGAGTACTTATAGTTTACCAGCCACATACGACCTTGACAAAACTTTTCATTCATAATCAGTTGATTTTCTTTGCTGGTGTTAGTGCTGAATGAGACTAATGTCACATGATTACCTTGATAGTGTTATGATCACCTGTTATTTGTTATCATTGCATACTTGACACCTCTCACAATGGAAAAGTAGGTGATAAATCACTTGTTGCATTAGTCCACTGCACACCTTATCCCTTTTCATAGGTAATCCTGATTAAATGACCATGAAAAGGGCTGTAAGCAGTGGACTGTGGTAACAACCCGTAAGAAACATGGAAATATTTATTTAAATTAGTAATGTCCTAATCAATAATAAAGATGGAAGGATGAATTTTAATGATATAATCCACATGATTCACACAAATGCCATTACAAATTACCACTTATCTCATGTTTCACAAAGTTGATGCATGATTTTAGAATATCCTTTTCATGAGAATGTAAAACATCTTCCTCATTTCTTGGAAATGTTTGTGATCTCTTTGGAGCTGCACTGCATATTTCCTTGATCACAAAATGGCACATTTAAATAAAACCATTTCCTGAAAGATAAACACTTGAAAAACTGAAATCACTTTGTGATGAATATGCCTCTTGTATGGAAGTGGTTTCAGTATCCTGTATCTTAAACCTGATTCACAAGAATTAGGATCAGAATGTACAACTTACGGCTATTTTTCCCATTATTCTCCAAATTTACAGAACAGATTTTCCCGTTGTATCCAATACTTTGTTCCTTCACCTCTGAAAATGGTGTTTGAGCTTTCCAATTAACCAGGATTTAAACATTTTCAAATTTTCCTGATCCTCTCATAATATTTCGTGTTGGAATATCAATAACATGTATGTCCATGTATATCGTAGTTTGGTGATTTTAAAGCCAAACATCCACAAGTCATCTTCACAGGTAAGTCTTGTGTCCATCATTATGGATAAAGACAGACTGATATAAATACTGACCCAAGAGCTCCCTGGTACCGAGACATACTAATTCATACAGGTAAATCATACATAAAACAAGATTTATGGTATAGGGACTGACAAGATCAGTTTTTTTCACTCCCTCTCTGTTTGTTTGAGATGAAAAGTATGTAGTAAGTCAGTTATACCATGATTTTTGGACATTTGTTACTTATTACACCCTTGTTATCCGTCAGATTTAATAAATCCCTTGTTACTCAAAACCCATGCAGTAACCAATGCTTATTAGAATCTAAATCTTGTCTTAGATGCCACTCTGAATAGACAGCATTGTACAGTGCTCTACATTACAGCTTTTTGTGCAATTATCTTTAGGGTTAGTTGTATTCATCTTTCAGAGAAAATATGAAAGTGTGAGAAATGCATGAGATCATTTCCGTAAAACTACTTGGTAGTGAAAAGAAAGTTGTCATGTCTTTGTTTTTTTTATCCGACAAACATCCTGCTGACTAAATCTAATCTGACATGAAGTATACGTTAAATGAAATTTAAGAGCAAATTAATTTGTATGTCCTAGAACAGACACAAAGGGCTGTATGTCCATTTCATTTGACTTGGTACCTAATTTAAATTTATATTGATGATGACCGTTTTACTGGTGTCAATATCACCAGGTATAAAATACACAAAATTTAGAATATTCAATGAAAATGGCTGCATCCTGATAATATGTCGACAGAATGTGTATATAGAGGATGCATGTTTTAGCTGTCAGGTTAGTGAATTACTCCTGTTAGCTAACAGCATGTGTTGAGCAGTTGCTATATGACATGTGTTATATTTTGTGTATTTCCCTGCATTTATATGTGTATATATCCGTACCGCTGTAGCCTTGGATACATTTGCTGTCGTTGGACTGGTCGTTATAATAACTAAGATTCCAACATTTTTCATTGGACAGAAATTATCTAGCATTACCAACAACTGTAAAAATTGCAAGTGTTCCACATCATAATTATAATGAGCAGTGAAGCTATTCATTTTCGATTTCATGAATATTGTAGTTCACCCTATTTAAATTTCTCTGTTTGTGTGTCCCTATTCTAGGCCAAATATCCAAACCTTTATTTGTACTTAGGTTCCATTATCCCTTCTAAGTAGAGTGCATTCATCCATTTACAGATCCAGGTTCCTCATCTTGGTTTTGTCTTAATAGACAGGTGACCTTGATACAGAGGTTCAGTTGAAATTAGTTTTATGGGGACCAAAACAAATGGCCTTTGTAGACAAATAGTCCTTTAAAACAAAGTTTAACTATATGTATATATGATAAAAATACCCCTTAATGTTCTTTTCCTACCGTCTCATTGATAATTGATATTTAACACCATTTACTGAACACTTGAAGTACTAAATTAGTCTGGTGATATGCAACAAAACAGGGATGCATTTAGTTGATATCTGATTTAATTGGGACATAAAATGTACAAGAAAAAACGACCTTTCAAATACTGATGGTAAGGATCGGCCAGCCACAAGTAATCTATACCTGCTGAAGTCTTCTGGCCATCTGTGACAAGTTACAGATATAAGGAGAGAAGATTTGTCGTATGATAAATAATGACCTTGACACCATACCCATAATACCTTGTCTTTCACACTAGCTTTAAGGTTGAATGCCTATCTAATACATTGTACAGCTAAAGAAGGTAGGCATACCGCAGTATTATGTTGCATAGTCTATCATCAGGTGTTCACTGTTAAATTAAAAAAAGAGTGAGGGAAGTTTGTTGAAATGTCCCCAGATAAATACCTGGCCTAAGTATCATGTTTGGTGGTATAACCCTTAACAAATCCTTGGCTAATATTTCTGTCTGGAGTATAGATCTGTTGCAAGTCAAGTTTCAGCCAAGGGTAACATTTTAGTTTGGTTGGAGAAATATATCTAGTTTGGGTTAACATTATGGCCTTATCAGGGCAATATTCAACTTTTGGGTATTTTTCCAGCCAGTAGTTTGTGGTGGATAATACTCCAGCCCAGAGTAATATTGTAGCCAAGTTAGAGTAATACTGTTTTTTGTGTGTATGTCTAGCTTTGGGTAATATTCCATCCCATATGGAAATATTTAAGGCCAGTCCAGGGAAATATTCTCGCCTATATAGATGATAAAGAGCCAAGATAATTTTGATGAGAAAAATGTGTTTATGTTCTTATGATTAAAAAGATCTGATGACCAGGTAAATTTGTTTCTATTTCATATGATATTGAGGAAACTTACAAATGCTCTATTTGTCAGAAACTTGTTAATATTCAAGACTTGGGTCTCTGTCGTAGGAAATCTATGAGACTCTGCTTTGTCATTGTCTGATGGGTTTTAGACATGGCTGCCTGGGGTCTTTGCTAGGGTTCTGATGATATTCAAGCCTCAAGGGGCTTCTGGTAATATTCTAGTCTACTACAATGTCTGCCTGTGGCAATTTTCCAGCTATCCCTATTATTCTTGTCTCCCATGATATTCAATGGTATATCATATTATATTAGAACAAACTAAAGACACTGTATATATACACAGTCTAATCTAGGATGTTGTTTCAGTTACACAGAGTTAGATCTTTTGAGAGTGTTTTAAATAAAAGAACTGTATTCATGCCCAAAAATAAAATGTAGGTCATTCTGACTCGCCAGTGTAGCCTGTGCTAACAGTACAAGGTCAGTGTGTCAGGGTTATATATAGGGTGTGTAGTTGTTAGGTAATATTCTGATCTGTATGTGTTGTAATATTTCACAGGGATAGAAGTATATCCTAATTATTATACTGTTGTTAACATTGTTGTATTATGATGCTACCAGGGAAATATATTAGTATGATAGATTACACTTAATTCATTCACAACAAGGATAAAATGTTAATCAGGGACCACCTCCTAACGTTACCTCCAAGTAGTGGACAACTGCTAAATCTTGGTACATGTTACTGATGCATCACAGGCTTCTGGAGGAAAATTTGAGGATACCTGAGTACATTATAAAGTATTGATGTATTATTGCCTTATTATCAGCTATCCAGACAGGAAGCTGTAAAGTGAGATAAAAACAGTTTATACCAATTACAGCAAAACATGTTTATACCAATTACAGCAAAACATGTTTATACCAATTACAATGAATTCATAATGATAACCTGGTGGCTCTCATTCCGCGACAAATGTTGTGTTATTAATGTGTATAACACATTTCACGTTACAAATAAAGGTCTACATTGTACAAGGTATAGTACCTTCTACAAGGCAAACTGTGTGTATTATATGGATTAGGACAGTATATTCTAAGTACAAGGTTGGATCATTACAGTGGGTAAATTCAAACAGGAACTAGTTATTGTCAAACCTAATCCATGTAAATACATATATGGCATGCACAAGGAGATTCTAAAGTCCAATTTTGATGTAGTGAAATACTCAATGGTAATGTAAATAAACACTATCGTGTTGAGAAATGAGAGCAGGTTGAACAACTCTGTACAAACAGTCCGTATATATACCTTACATATCTGTTATAAATCCAGGGGGTTATGTACTTGATACTGGATAACAAGTCCAGGGGACTAACACAGCATTTATTACTTAAAGTTGGGGAGAGGGGATGGACTTATCACAAGACCCTAGGGAATTAACCTATTTCTTCTTACTCAAAGTCAGGGGATGGGCTTATTACAGGACCGCAGGGGCCCTCACATTACTTCTTATTCACAGCTAGGGGGTTTGGTGGGCTTATTACAGGACTTAGGGGGCCAACACTTTTCTTCTTATCCGCAGTTAGGGGGTGGGCTTATTACAGGACTTACGGGGCCAACACATTTCTTTTTATCCGCAGTTAGGGGGTGGGCTTATTACAGGACTTAGGGGGCCAACACATTTCTTTTTATCCGCAGTTAGGGGGTGGGCTTATTACAGGACCGCAGGGGCCCTCACATTACTTCTTATTCACAGCTAGGGGGTTTGGTGGGCTTATTACAGGACTTAGGGGGCCAACACATTTCTTTTTATCCGCAGTTAGGGGGTGGGCTTATTACAGGACTTAGGGGGCCAACACATTTCTTTTTATCCACAGTCAAGTGGTGGGCTTATTACAGTACCCAAGGGGGCCAACATATCACTTCTTACTTCAAGCTTAATACATGTGTGCAATCCTTGATTAAAAGCTATTATATAGATAATGATTTAGTAGTACGGTTGCAGTGATGTTTCCTATCTGTGTTTCCTCTCTTCTAGAATACTGTGATTGAGATTGTTGCTGTCGTGAATGACGCTGTAGGAACGCTGATGTCCACCGCTCACAGCGACAGGCAGTGTGAAATTGGTCTCATTCTAGGTAAGCTTCATCACACGTTTTGTTGGTAAGCGGTATTGTATAATCTGTAACACTGACCTTGTGTAAATATTTTAGGTCATTAGTGATCAAAACTGCTGCAAACTTAGGCAATTTGAGGCAATCAAAATTCAGCACATTATCACTTTTTGGAAAAAAGCACATTGTTGATAGATTTGCAAATACACAATACTTATTACATTAAAAAAAACATAGAGAAACTGCAATAATCTCATTCCTGTGTAAGGGAAATGATAATGTGTTAGCCAAGAGTTTATAGTGTAACCCTTCATTATAACTTGGCAATTTGTTTAAAAAATGTGTGTGGAAACAGTAGTATTATAACGTATTGTATTACATGTGACTGTGATTCTGAGTGACTGACTTCTCAGTTTAAAACTACTACAATGGCATTATATGTAAATTACCTCGGAGTCTGGAACCTGTAGTTAAACTTGTGACAACCAGTGATTTTAATTCAAATTCATTCACATTTAAAATATCAAAAGCAAGCCTCTCACCGAGTTACAGAAGATATTATATGTGTAAGAGTGATAAAGTTATGTTGTCTAGGACATCATTATTGTTGTGTCCAATGTTTATTTCCATCAGCAATCGCCCAAAGCTTTCTGAACAAAATAAATGAATAAAAGATGAAGTTTGTGTGAATGTTTTATCAGTGATAAATGAGGAATTCAATTTTTTCTGCATGGTTAGATACAGACCATAGTGTATAACGGACTACTTAATCACTTACAGATAAACTGTAAATGTAAGTGTATTATATTCTATATAATGACTGTGATACTGGGACATATTACATGTGACATGTACTTCAAACATTTAGGTATTTTTAGAAACCAAAATCTAATGTTGAAGTGTTCCAATATTTCAGAGTGCTTTTTGCAACCTTGTTTGGTAGCTCTCCTATGAAAACTAAGAACTCCATTGTGACAAGGAAATATCATTCCCATGTCACGGTCTTGATTGTATATACATTTAGAAATTAGGTGACCTTGTGTCTTCTAATTATTCATGAGAACATTTCAGTCAGCCTTTTTAGGTCAAGATGGGAAAGTTGGTCAATATTTGGCTTTAACATGCTACTACTCCTTAATACTTCAACAGATTTCAACAAAATTAGTGAATTCTTTGGGTTTGTTCATTCATTCCTCGATTTTCAGATGACTGTTAAGGGCCAAGGCCCTCGTTTACATTTATAGACCTAAATGATTAATTGTGGTAATTAGATGGCAGTAATGTTTGCTATACGTAAGTTTTATTATATATGTACATTATCTTCAGAACATTAAGGTTGTGCAAGGGAACAGAATATATTTGAGGTGTCGTGTCATAAAATGGCACTATTTTCCAGTCATGGTAAACAGTTTAGATATTGTACGTCCTGGAGTAAGGTATAAAAATGTAAATGCATGTATATATGTAGGTAATGGTTGATTATTAATGCTAGGTACCTGACATAAATAACAAGGGGTCAATTATACTACAGTAACTGATCTTGGGTTTGGTCTCTAGTGGAATTCCCACTTATAAACACCAGAAGAGTTAACTATTCAAATACCTCTCCTAATTTCCTGACCACAGAACAATATATCTCTCACTTACTGCTTTTTGAAAACAAATTATGTACATATGCATTTGTGGGAAATTAAAAAGGTAATCTTTATTTTCCTAGTATGTCAGAAACTCTTACAAGGTGATGAACATATTTTATTCCTTCAGTGAGTCAAGATCATTTCACTGAGATGAATTGCGAGTTATGGACATTGTGTTGAGATGGACTGTGAGTTATAGACATTGTGTGAGATGGACTGTGAGTTATGGACATCATGTTGAGATTGACTGTGAGTTATGGACATTATGTTGAGATTGACTGTGAGTTATGGACATTATGTTGAGATGGACTGTGAGTTATGGACATTGTGTGAGATGGACTGTGAGTTATGGACATTGTGTGAGATGGACTGTGAGTTATGGACATTGTGTGAGATGGACTGTGAGTTATGGACATTGTGTGAGATGGACTGTGAGTTATGGACATTGTGTGAGATGGACTGTGAGTTATGGACATTGTGTGAGATGGACTGTGAGTTATTGACATTGTGTGAGATGGACTGTGAGTTATGGACATTATGTTGAGATGGACTGTGAGTTATGGACATTATGTTGAGATGGACTGGGAGTTATGGACATTATGTTGAGATGGACTGTGAGTTATGGACATTATGTTGAGATGGACTGGGAGTTATGGACATTATGTTGAGATGGACTGTGAGTTATGGACATTGTGTGAGATGGACTGTGAGTTATTGACATTATGTTGAGATGGACTGGGAGTTATGGACATTATGTTGAGATGGACTGGGAGTTATGGACATTATGTTGAGATGGACTGTGAGTTATGGACATTATGTTGAGATGGACTGGGAGTTATGGACATTATGTTGAGATGGACTGTGAGTTATGGACATTGTGTGAGATGGACTGTGAGTTATTGACATTATGTTGAGATGGACTGGGAGTTATGGACATTATGTTGAGATGGACTGGGAGTTATGGACATTATGTTGAGATGGACTGTGAGTTATGGACATTGTGTGAGATGGACTGGGAGTTATGGACATTATGTTGAGGTTGACTGTGTGTTATAGACTTAATTTTGAAGTGGATTGTTATTGATGTTATTGTTGTTGCAGGCACAGGTTGTAATGCTTGTTACATGGAACAGCTGGACAATGTTGAACTATGGGAAGGTGATAATTGTCACCCTCAACAGGTAAATATGTCTAGGGTTGGGCTAGGACTTATTTTCATATCCTTCATTTGATTTATGTTCAATAGAATTATCAAGAAGTGCTATTTCTTTGTCCTGTAATAAGCCCACCCTTTGACTTCTGATTCGGAGGTTATTTGTAGGTCCCCTGGGTTTATTAAAGGATGGATAATGTATGTACTCATTACTATCTGTGTTTTAACCACAGAGGTCTAAAAACATCCCTTGAATTACCTGGTTATTAACTGTGTAGTCTTATTTACCATTTATAAATACATTTACTAGAAAATTAACAGGTTATTTTACGTTTTCTATTCTTATACAATTGTACTTATTTTATGTTTGTTATTTGATAACTCTTATGAGGAATAACCATGTTATAGTGTAGGCAGTGTACAGCCTTAACCTATATGTATCATATGATGTTTCCTACAGGTTATTATCAACACTGAGTGGGGAGCGTTTGGAGACAATGGCTGTCTGGACTTTATCCGAACAGAGTATGATAGAGAACTGGATAACTTCTCCATCAATCCTGGAAAACAGATGTAAGTCTCACCTTGGATATAAACGTTGCTATACAATTAATTCGTAGAAAGATTCATTTAAATTTTGTTCTGAAGTCTGGAATACCCTGGATGTTTTTTTTTTTTTAATATATTCACAATTGATATGTTTTTGTAAAAGATAATCATATCAATGGCTAGTATTAAGCAAGAAGCTGTATACTGTCTATCAAGGTTGAGAAATGTCTTTTGTTTGGTATGATGGAGTTGATATGATGTTTGTTTTCAGTATGGAGAAAATGATTTCTGGGATGTATATGGGTGAGATTGTGCGACTTACCCTAGAACGACTTACCATGGAGGGACTTATCTTCACAAGTATTGACCGCGAGTGTGAACTGTTTGTCAGGGGACGTTTCTACACAAAATATGTATCTGAAATTGAAAGGTAAGTTCGAACAAGTTTCATCTGGAATCTGCTTCAAGTCAAACTAGATCATTGGTTGAATAGTGTGGGAAATATCTATTGTAAAGAAAATTATCAAGGTGATCCTTAATATTGTATATCAGATGTGAAAATATTTCTCAGATCATATCTATTTGTTTTAAATCTCCAGTTATTTCCAAGCTTCTATTAAGAAAGCAGTCCCAGAGCTGATCTTAAAACTTGCCACATGAGTCAATTAATCCTATATGTGTGAGGTCTTGGATTTTGTGTAACTGCTGGTACCTCAGGACACAGCTGTTTTCATTTTCAATATCTGGAATTTTTTTCTGATTGTGCAGTGTTTAAATATTGACTGGTGATATTTATCTATTTCAGTGATCATGATGAGTTTTTCGCTAATACAAAACAAGTTCTAGATGAATTGGGCATTGAGAACTATACAACAGAGGACTGCAAAATTGCCAAATATATTTGTACATTGGTTTCAGCGCGGGCAGCTTTCCTTGCATCAGCAGGTAAGGAAGATGTATAACCAACTCATGACGTTAATGTGAAAATGTCCCCTCTTACCTAGCAACAATTTACTAACAAAAACGACCTCCCTTATCTAGAAACAATTTACTAACAAAAACGACCTCCCTTATCTAGAAACAATATACTAACAAAAACGACCTCCCTTATCTAGAAACAATTTACTAACAAAAACGACCTCCCTTATCTAGAAACAATATACTAACAAAAACGACCTCCCTTATCTAGAAACAATTTACTAACAAAAACGACCTCCCTTATCTAGAAACAATATACTAACAAAAACGACCTCCCTTATCTAGAAACAATTTACTAACAAGAACATCCCCTCTTACCTAGAAACATTTTATTAACAATACAACCTCCCTTATCTAGAAACAATATACTAACAAAAACGACCTCCCTTATCTAGAAACAATATACTAACAAAAACGACCTCCCTTATCTAGAAACAATTTACTAACAAAAACAACCTCTCTTATCTAGAAACAATATTTTATGACCTCTCTTACCTAGAAACAATTTACTTACAGAAATGATCCTCTTACTTTGAAACAATTTATTAACAAAAACGTCCCCTCTACCTGGAAACCACTAACTGACAACATACTGTTATCTATCATGTCCTCCAAACCGTGTCTGACCTGATGACAACTTCCCTACAATGACATGTTAACCATTTATCTTTAATGACCTTTAAACTTGTTTTCACAGGTCTGGCCACACTTATTAACAAGCTCAATAAGCCAGAGATGACGATAGCAGTTGATGGCTCACTTTATAGATTCCATCCTCGGTTCCACAACCTCATGTGTCTGAAAATACAGGAACTTGTAAAGCCAGGATTAAAGGTAATCCTGTTGGCTGAATGACTAGATTTATTTTCGATTCTCATTTCTTGATTGTATAGGAATGCTTCTCATTATGGATATTTAACTGCTTTTTGCTTTTATGAATTATCCAATCCATTATGCCATGAAATAAAAAAACAAAAAGTAGAATTTTTTAAAATGTAAATTTTAATTCGTGGTTAACTTTATTTGACCTTTTCTGTTTTTCAGTTCAAGTTAATGCTTTCCCATGATGGAAGTGGAAAAGGTGCCGCCCTTGTTGCAGCAGTCTCAATGCGTCTTCGTGATAAAGACTATCAGGAAGACAAGGCAGGGTTGGCTTGTGTATGACAGACACCTTCAATCTAAACATGAACAGCATTTATTGTGTGAGTGACAAATGAATGCAAGTGGAGGAATGCTAGAATGTATAGCACATGAAAGGACCTCAATTCCAAGGTGATCCTTACAAGGTCACAATACTAATGCTGCTAGACTGGCTCCCAAGCCTGTTCCTGAGATATACACATGTGCTAGTAACGTGTGATTCTCCAGTTCACTACAGCGTCGTGTGATGTAATACAGTGATGTTTTACTGTATCAAAGTCACTGTGTTAATCACACAATCAAGACTTAACTCCTGTCCTGTCCTTATAATAGAAAGGGTTGTTTAACATACATTCAAGATAATCATGTACCTGATATAAAACCAAGCATTGGTTACACAATTTCTCTTACAGTATAGCTTTCATTTTAGGGGAGAAAGTGTGTTCAACATTAAAAACTTCATATTTTGTGTTTCAAATCATGACAGATTGATTTTCACTTTGACTGCCTGGTTAAGGTCAATATTTAGGGTCAGTTCAGTATTCCTGTGTATCAACTCTACACTAACCAGGTATAACGAGAGAAATCTCACCCTGACAATTACAAGATAGAACTGTATGATAATGTTAAGATGTCATAAACACAATCCAAATTTAGGTCTAGAGACATAACTCATCCAAAATTTTGCTTAGAACCAAATTGTTTGGATAAGAAATTGATTTACGGTTTGCATTTTCTTATCTAGGTCCATTCTCTTTAGCATTTTGAGCAATCAAAATATTCCGACAGAAAAATGAACAAGATTCAATACTTTTAAAGACCAAATCAAGCAGCAGTAAGTGGCTTTCAATGACACCAGTATGTAGACAACTCCTTTACCCTTTTTGTTATTGCCAAAGAATACTTTTATGACTACGGATTAAATTTTACATAGTCTTTTCTTCTCTTGTGTAAAACGAAATATTTCTCACATTTCCTTCCAAAGTAAGAGTGGGCTTAAAAGTGGCTTTATCTCTTGATAAAGCCAAGAAGATTATTGTGTGACTATGTGATTTATGCTTTTTAAGCCATAGCAAGGCTTAACAATGTTGTTGCAAGCTTTTTGTAGTGGACGAAGAGTCTGCAAATGTTATTTTTGTTGTTAATGTATATAGTTGTAAATATGTCTGAAGGCCTTATACTGCTGTGTATTTATCAGCATTACACTTGTTAATTAATCTGTATATAATTGAATGTTCAGTTACTGGATATATATGTTATCATGCTTGTGTAGAAATAGTATTGTATAACCAATTTGATTAAAACAGATTCCTAAATACTGTTATACTTCCTGATGCTAAAACAATGTGACTGCTCCAGATATAGAGGTAATTTTTCGTTTTATACCTTTCATGGATCTAAATTGATTCAGGTTTGATATATCTGTTCAAATTTTATTTGATAGAATACACGTACTCTTTGTATCAAAACTTTTTCGTGTTGTATTATATCAACTGAACTCCTACTGATTTTTAAATGATAATTATACAAATTAATTGCTGTATCTTGAGGTCAGTCAACATAGCAAATATCGAGTTACACCTACATTTTCAGACCTGACAGCCATCTTCAACCAATCACTTTATTTAATAACAAGAAGTTTAACTAAAATAATTGCCTGTAGATGGCCGTCAGATCTGAAAATGTTCGTGAAACAGAACATTTGCTATGTTGACTAAGTCATCCAACAGCATTCTATCAATACAATATATATATATATAAAAACTTTATCATGATAAAAATATAATGTAGTAAATTATGGTATGTTAGATCTGTTATTAACCAGATTGGTATACAAGTTACATAATCTCTGCATGTTTAGCACAGGGACTTGTAGCAGGAATCTGTAGCATGATCCCATTCTCACTCACAATGTGTATACATTTAAATGGAGTTCATTCTAAAAGTTTGTCAGAGAAAAATTATGTGATCATTTTTGGATTGAAAATAAATGGTGAGGTATATGTAGGGAAAAGGTGATATGTATGTATATAGAGGAGGTTGATGTGTTGGTATTTAGGGGAAAGTGATATGAAAGGGAAGGTTTTATGTAGGTATATGGGGGAGGGTGAAATGTAGGTATATGGGGGAGGGTGATATGTAGGTGTGTAAGAGAAGGTGATATGTAGGTGCATGGGGGAGGGTGATATGTAGGTATTAGGGGAGGGTGAAATGTAGGTATATAAGGGAGGGTGAAATGTAATTATATAGGGGGCGGTGATATGTAGGTGTGTAAGAGAGGGTGATATGTAGGTGCATGTGGGAGGGTGAAATGTAGGTATATGGGGGACAGTGATATGTAGGTGTGTAAGAGAGGGTGATATGTAGGTGCATGGGGGAGGGTGATATGTAGGTATTAGGGGAGGGTGAAATGTAGGTATGTAAGGGAGGGTGAAATGTAATTATATAGGGGACGGTGATATGTAGGTTTGGACAATGAGGGATACGAGGATTATGCTACATTTTCCTGTGGTCCAGCTGTACACCTTACATTTAGTTCTGTATTACATGTAATATACTTTTTAGTGCTGTATTAAATATTAAATTGAGGACAATCTTTTTGTAAACTGAAATTCCATTGTAAATATGGAAATTGTAGAGTTCTTAAACCATTTTCCAGTTTTCACTAGAAAAGCTCATAAAAATGCTGTACCCATAAAGGCATGAGTCTAGAATTCTACGAGAACTGTTTATGATGTATGTATTATCTTTATAACTAATTTGAACCATCTTTGATAGAAAAAATATTGGAGTGCATATATCACTCTAAAAGTTGGTTTTCAGCCTTGGTCACAAGATGAAATGATTGTCGGAGGAGCATCGGTTTTTTATGGATGGAGAAGTAGAGTTTATATTGTAAACTGCGTGTAGGTTTTACTCATCTGACATATACTCTTTTGAATTTACTCAAGATATACAAGTTGTATTCATTTCAATGTTATAATACTATTAATTTTTAATTTGTAAAATCTAAGACGTCTTGTTCTGTGCTTTTTACAGACAGTGTTGTATTGTTTTTAAAATCCGTGATGAGTTTGATCTCACGAGAGTAAATGTCATGGCATTATGATATAAATGCTGGTGATGTCACTGCTGATTTTTAATTGAAATGGAAACTTCCCAATACATCTCAATTATTGATGTATTCCAGTTTTTCTTGATGAAATATTAAAAAATCTCGCTTTATTTCATTTGAGATCCTAGTAAATTTAATAAAACTACACCAGGAAAATAGAATGTATTCATCTGATTTAAAATGGTGTGGTGGTGTTGAAGCTTTAAGGATGTGAATCTCATACTAAGTATTACCAACAGGCATCCAGCATGTGTCCTTCACAAGTGTTTGTAGGGTAGATTGTATTCACAATTACAGACCTTGCATGTGTGAACCCTCACAAATGCAATAAACAGCATCAGACCATATAAGGCATTTGTTGACACAAATAGCATTTAATTTGAAATATTTTACAACCAGAACAAGTGGTTAATTCTGTTTACACCTTACTTACAATTGGCACACTATGTCTTAGCAATACTAACAATGTCCACACTCTCTAATTTGAACCTACAATTGACCTGCTCTGTCTAAACGGTACTTACAATGTGTATCCTCTCTAATTTGAACCTACAATTGGCCTGTTCTGTCTAAACGGTACTTACAATGTGTATCCTTTCTAATTTGAACCGGTACTTACAATGTGTATCCTTTCTAATTTGAACCTACAATTGGCCTGTTCTATCTAAACGGTAGTTACAAAGTGTATCCTCTCTAATTTGAACCTACAATTGGCCTGTTCTGTCTAAACGGTACATACAATGTGTATCCTTTCTAATTTGAACCTACAATTGGCCTGTTCTGTCTAACCGCTACTTACAGTGTGTACACTCTCTAATTTGACCGTATACTTGGCACACTCTGTCTAACCGGTACTTACAGTGTGTACACTCTCTAATTTGACCGTATACTTGGCACACTCTGTCTAACCGTTACTTACAGTGTGTTCACTCTCTAATTTGACGGTATACTTGGCACACTCTGTCTAACCGGTACATGCAGTTGACACACTATCTAGTGGTACCTACATATAAAGTCTCTAAATTTGTTTGCGATTGACACGATGAGGATTCTACTTCACAGCTTCAGTGATGGGAAATGATTAACAGCATTTTTGGTGCTGTTAGCATGTATATTTTCAATGTTCATACAAAGTGAAAAAAGGTCTCCCTCCACACTTGAAAAAGTCAGATTCCTTTTTTTATATTGTAAAAAAACATTTTATTGTTTAGAAGTATGTCTTTTTTTTGCTGGTGACTTTTGATATACCACCTCTTTTGTTGCATATTTTCATGTAATATTTTGTTTTAATGTTGGAAGAACAACAGTCAGAAAGAATTTTTCTCTGCCATATATATATATATCAAGTGTAAGAATTAAAAATGTAACACTGCATTTGATTGGTCCACTTCAATAGTTACCGTTAAATAATGCCAAATATACAAGAAGTTCAGATGGCAGTTGTTGATGACGTCAGTAAATCGGACAAACCTAAACACGTGATGACAAAAGTGCAACTAACAAACTTTGATCATCCTTCAAACTTCAGTGATGTTGCTAATGGGTGTAATTTGTTATTTATATTTCTGAAATTTTATCTTTTTTGGGAATTTTGAAATTCCCATGACATATGTCCTGTTTATACTGCCAGAAATATCCATTTTGCTGTCCAAGTGCGGTAAGGACTATCACAAGTGTCAAGCGGAAGTAGGCAAGGGTTGTCCCATTATAGAAGTGTTGGTATTATTCTGGTCGTGTCACAATCATGTATTGGTCAATATTTTAAACATGTTGAAGCATTCAAATGTAAGTCAATGTCACCACGAACCAGAAACCAAGGTTTTGATGGAATAAAATAAAAAATTAGAGTGAAAATACAGGATTTTTATGATATGTCCTTATAACCATGATATGGTATGTTATGATAAGGTAGAAGGTCAATCAGTGCACGACCTTCGAGGGTCTGTGGTATACATAGTATTCATGTCTAGGTCGGGGTGATAAAACATTGCGCGATGTTTAAGGGTCAAATTCCAGTAATATTTGAAATGTCTGGATGGTCCAAGCGATATTGCCACGGATTAATCAAAGCATTTATAAAAATGACTATCATAAAGCTGAAGCAATGGTTTTTAGAAACTCGTTAATTAATTAATTATTGTAACCAAACTTTTTTTTCTGTTGAGGTAATACTCTGACATGTAACTATTTTTTCGTCCATTAAAATAAATCGTCCAAATCCCGTATGTTTGAGTTTATATCGGATAATTGAGATCTGGTAACATATGTCACAGGAAAATATAGCCATACACACGGGAACGCTTTGTGACCGTTCTTATTCCTTGCACATGTGAATCTGGCCGTTCCCATTTCCTGCACACCTGTCAGCCAACTTAAACATCATCAGCATTATGGTTTGTATAGTGTTGTCACAACAAATGGTACTCTTAACGTTGGTGGGTCTGAAGAACCACGAGATGATTTGATCCTTTATTCCACTCTATGAATTGTGTCTTGCCTCTATGAATTCTTTAAATTGACATGAAATAAAATGTCAGAAGTATTCAAATTGTTATCTTATTTATTACGTCATTTTAAATGACGTCATCACTATTTTACTACTGGCCGAATTCATACGGAATTTATGTAAGAGTGGTTCTCAGTAAATGAACTCCATGGGAAAAGTTTAATGTCTTTGCTCGTCAGAGAAATTTTACTTTTGTATTTATATGTCTCCGAGCGATATACGTGTTCAATATATGTACGTATACATAGTGGATTCAGGACTCTGTCTGAAAGGTCTTATTCTTCTTGTATCGTATCCGAAAGTCACATTTTCTTCTTCGCATAACTATTCTGGAGTTCGAATGATGATTTTGTTTACTCGTCGCTGGTGCCTTAATCTTTTGTCGAAACCGTATTTTATTCAACATTGGACGAAACAGTTGTTTTCAAACCTGAGTAACGTCGGTCTGAACCATGGTTTTGTTGATGACTGAGCGAATCAGCGCGACCAATATTTCAAAGTATTGTTTATGTTTGGACGAAATAGTGTTCACAATATTTAGTTCGAGCCTAGAATTATGTTGTATGGATCAGAAGTTTACCGTCAAATTAAATGTTTGTTGACATTTATTCAGTGTCACCTGGTGAATAGGTCTCGGTATATTATAAGCCTCTTTCATGTGTATGGAGTGGAGGACGGAGATATTTTTCCCAAGGAGTAACAAACCCGAGGATTTTACCACATTTTGTGACCCCGGGGGTTAAATATTCCATCAACACCCAGACATATTACCGAGTAATTTTCTCTCATTTCTCCTCCGAAACCGTGTATTGAAAAATTATAATTTCAGACGTTGACAGTGAACTACCAAGGACGCATTATTACATGATTTTTTTATTATTTTGAAATTAATCGACAAGTTGATCTGTCTAGATTTGGAAAAAAGGTTTTCATAGAAAAATAATACAAAATATAAACCGTCAAAGCTACTAACTATTTGTACACGTGTATATACATTGTATCAGGCAATGACGTCAAGGGACACGTCACGTCTCTACGCGTGCGTGCCTCTATTGAAGGAGTGGGTGTGTAAATCTTGTATTACACAGGTAGAAACGAGAGAATTATTTTTATACTGTTTATCATTTTATTCATCCTAAGAAGTATATCGTTGGAGGAAGCATCACCCTATTGGTACTTAGTAAGTCTGTCTAGTTCTCACTTCACTTTGTTCATTGCATATCTTAACCTGGTGCGAAACTCGTTTCAAGTAACATTCTGTGTAAGGCAAGTCGTCACTCAGTCATGCTTGTACATAGTAATGATGTTTTAGGACAAGTATTACAGGAATGTTTTCCTACCAAAAATTTGGAACCGTGTGTTCACCTCAGATGACGTCACTGTCACCATTAACGCCGATGTATTATTAAACCAGCGATTTTGCTAAGTGTCTTGTATTACGATCGCGGCGTTGTGATGGTAACCATACCCGGACTAGAGAAACAGACGTACATATACTATATATACACAGACTATTACTACGTCACAGTTCGACCCTATAAATGTTGTTTACTGTACACCTGCGTCTCGCCTCCGCGAACACGTGTGAAACCCGTTTTGTTTACGCCTCGTTTCACCTTTTTTCATCCCTATTGAAATACGTTTATTTGCGTAATTATCTGATATCTAAGATATGTGGTTATCTGGACATTAGCATTAGTAATTCACTGCCATTAAAGTCGTCAATGGTTATGCGAATACATATGTAATTTTATCTTGCAACTGCGCTGCCATTGTCGGAATACACACGCTACGTGCATTTTGGCTGTAGTCGGCAGTGACTGAAAGTCGCTATATTTTAGCACGTGCATTAATTCGATAGAATGACTTCCAGATTTACTTAAATATTTCATAAAATGAAAATAACCTTTTAAATAAGCGATTTTATTTATTGCAACAAACAAAATTATTTATGAAAATTCATAAAATTGCTTTTTAGTATCCATTGAAGTGTGGAACTTTATTTTCCCCGGTTTGATTATTTCGATGCGTGTCATCAAGTGCAATTTAGCTGTTGAATAAGCCTAACAATAAACTGTCGGAGTTTTGATAATCAGAAATACTAGTATCTATAGGGTTATACAGACTGCTGTCAAACATTCTCTATACACCTTGCCGGGAATGATAAACTAACATTTTCGATGGCCGTTACTATACGGAGACTTTATACCTGATAAATAGTAAACTGACGTTAGATTACCATGGCGACTAGAAAAAATCCGTGTAATGGTGGCCATTGTAAATATGCGGGGAAGTAAAGTTGTTAGAGGAAAAAGAGTGGAAATATTTGGTTTACAACATTTGATTGCTTTGACATACAAGTATATATGCAAGTTAGAACACAAATGTTCTCTCTGTTGTAAACTGTATAAAACATACAGGCTATAGAAAGGAATTCCGACAATCGACCAGGACCAAGACAAAATTAAAATCGTGGATAGATAGTTAGAACCAATGGGAGTAATAAACATACACATACCTGACAAATATTCCATGATCAAAACGTGGTACTTGGGAGGTCAGTGTCGAAAGTAAGTAAACATTAAAAAATAAACAAAAGAACAAAACAAATGTATTACAAACATCACGGTCTACCTTCCCTATTTTTTCAGGCAAAAGATGGAAACGCGGCATTGTTTTTTCTTAGAGTATATTACTCATAACGCGGGAGATCAGATTTGTCTAAACTTTTATCAAGAAATTTGAGTATTGGAAAAGACAACAAGTGTCGACGACGTTTAACTTATAGCTGACTAACGACATGTAACGTACGGGGACTTGGCAGCAGCTGATTCGGGTACCGATGGCGTAGTTCTGTCCTACATAATATCAGTAACTTTGACATTGAACTTACCAGACTTGATGCTATATTTAGTTGTTTTGGAGATTTGTTATCACGCTCTGGAGGCGAGGCTTTGTGAGTATGTCCCTATTATCATTCAACAAATTGTAAATAGATATTTCACCTCCGTCTGACCCGACATATAAGTATAGACTTATTGACAAATCCGTATGGCCCTGACCCAGTAGGGGCCGTACAACCACCTTATACTTTAGCAAACGGAAAGGTAACATTCAAAAGTCTTAACTTTTTAAGTTAAACTCTTTGGTTTTTTTAATGAGTATTCAAAAAGTGTTCGTGGAAAACAATGCAACTGTTTTTGAAGACATCCGAAGCGATAAGTCATTTCGTCTTAAAACCCCATCTTTATCCAAGGTGTGCCAATATTAAAATTTTTAAAAGCGATAAAAACGTGAGTTACCATTTCATTGTAATAATGTATGTATACTCCGGGTATTTTTTAGATGAAAATTGTAAATGGGGTAGACACATAGAAAATACATGTAATAATGCATCAAAACAAGTAAGTATTCTCCGTAAACTTTATTACATGTTGAATAGACGAACTTTAGTCAAAATCTATAAAGCATACATACTTCCATTATTAAAGTATTGTTGTGAAGTTTGGGGTGGGTGTTCTCTTAGTGACGCAGACAAAATGGAAAAACTTCAGTTAGAATCCGCTCGAATTATTACAGGTTTGCCAGCATATAGCAGCAGAGAATCTCTCTATATCGAAAGTGGTTTAGAACTGCTATCAGAACGACGTTCTAGAAGAAAACTTCTGCTATTCTACCAAATAAGTAACAAACTCACACCTAATTATCTATCCTCTTTATTGCCTCCTTTAGTGTCAGAAAACTCCGCGATGCACAAAACTATTTCTTGTCGAATTTCCGACTACAACTTCCGAACTTATCTTTTTTTCCCTTCTACTATCCGACTTTGGAACCAACTCGACCTTGAAATTAGACTGTGCTTCTTATTCGGTTTTTAAAATATCCATTCGAACCCCTGTAACAGTTTCAACTTATTATTTGATTGGTGAGTTAATATACTTTATGCTCGACTGAGAAATAATTCTAGTACTTTAAGCAATGACCTTCTCAGACCACATTTAATAGATCACCGTCACTGCCAATCCCCCTGACGACACCTACCACCACTTCTTCACTTGTAATAATTATGCGAATCAGAGAGAAATTCTATACCGGAAACTAGACCTGCACTTACTGTTACATGGTAGTGATAATTTCTCTATTGAATATGATGTAAAAATGTGTCAAATCACTCAGTAATATATACTTAACTCTAACAGAGTTTGATATATATATATCTCCTTCTCTCTCACTCTCCCTAAAATGAAATGTTAAATTTCTCTCCTCACTCCGACCCGCATGACAGGAGAAAATTGGATAAGGCACGGGATGTGATGATGTATAGCTGAAAGGCATTGAAAAGTGTACAATGTAACCGAGAGTAGTGTGGTCCAGTTTAGGATAGACTGATTTACATCTATAAACATAAATTGTATATATTACTCTCTCTCTCTCTCTCTCTCTCTCTCTCTCTCTCTCTCGTGTTATATTTAAAACATGTCGTCTTGTCTTGTCATTATGTGTTTTGTCAAACTTTATGGAGAAAGGGCTTAATATAAGTTGGAAAACTTGTTCTCAGTCCCATTGAAATTGTTCAATAAATATATTTAAATGTCACAATATATAATATATATACAATATATAAAGGTTTGTTACTAATATAAACGATACCTGGGTTAGTACATATTAAACTCAACTGTGCCTATTTGTATGGAAATGTGCTAAACATCTGTACATCTTTGTTTAAGTGGTAGACACTGCTGTGGACTTTTAGTCTCGAGGTTTGCCTTTGCCGAAACGGGCATGCCACATTTCAATTCATTAGACTTATTATTTAGATACTCTCTTGAAATTATCAGTTACGTGAATATTTCGAAATGATTGACTTACGGGGCTAGTGCTACCCCCATATTTTGACATTTCTTGCGATCGAATTTGCTTTTCCTCAGTCACTTCCTGTGTTTCAAAATTTAGGCCCTTAGCATCCTTGACCGTGGGCGAGTCTTAGACGAAGCAGCTGTGTGATGCAGTTTAATTCATTATATGGAGCTACTGTA